AATCTACGACCCAAATAGAAGTATAAAAAGAAATAATCTTGAAATGCCAAATAACTAAAAGTTATAGGACGTAACCTGCAAAATATTTCATTAAGAGCAAAATAGTATTTTAGCAGAAGATAATTTAATATTATTAAAACCTCTTGTGAGTATCTGGTAGACTTCTGGCAAAATTCTTCTGGTAGTCTAGCATAGCCCATCTTTGTTAGGGGCAATTCATTTATGAGGAGAAAAAAAGGAATGGCAATTTGGACATTTAACATACACACGTTGATGTATGGTCTTTATAGAAATAAGTCAATTGTGATTTGTGCACAACCATAAATTTCTCTCTCCCCCAAAAAAATTCATTATTACTTTCTCTTGCGTTAAATCTCAGGCAGGCACCCTCTTAACGTTTCACCAGATCCATATCTGATTCTCTCAGGTACATTTCACCGCAATTATACGTGGCCTTGTATTTGTGATGTGATATTTTTTGGATATATTTTTTGGTGGAAAATTTGTGTTCCTATTCGATATTTGTTTGTTTTCGAGTTGAGATATCTGGTGATCGATGTGTTTATTCTTCTTCTTTTTTTTAATATGTTGCAATGTGATGTTTTGTTGAATTCAGATTTATAGAAAAAATGAGATTCTCTATTCGGTTTGAGCTAATATTTGGCGGATTTAAGGTTGTGATATTGATATTTGTGCATTTTTTTTCATGTTCCGATCTGATCTGAAGATTTCTTCATCTAATTTTTTTCATTCATATATTTATGTAACTGTTAAAATTTGAAAAACCAACTCGAGAATGTACGATTGGATTTTTTTTTTTTTTTTAATTTTCTTTTTCCTCTTAGATCTATATGATTTGCTTGACTTTTATTTGAAAATGGTTTATAATGTTATTAATTGCGAATTTCAGGCATCTTCCGAATGTTATTTGTTTGCAACGCTGTCATTGCCTGTACTTGTGATTGAATATCATCTATATACCATAGATTAATTTCATATGAAAATCATATGCATATGATATTAACTAGTGGCCAACAATGGACATGGTTTGACCTCATGTTGTGAAAATAGTTAATTGCTTGAGGTTATGTAATGACGCTTGTGGTGTATACTGTTATTCATCAATAAGCAATTACATTTAAATTCCCGTGTATCTACATGGTTTTTTGGTGTGATGTGCATGTAATGTTACTCATTGTATTTGTATACAACATAATTCACCAAAAAGCTTCTAGATGTAGATTCACAGGTGTATTTTTGTAACATTTATGGGGGCAACGTTATTCATACAATGATGATCTTGGTAGTGGCTGTCATGTGATTCCTGAGAAGCCCCTATTCTGATATTCCGATTGTATATCCAAAAAAGTTGATTGATGGATAATTTGTGCTGACCGAAAGTGAGGTTATGAAATGACTCAGGCACATAATACGGAAAAATCGATTGGATCTACAATTATTTCATCGTATTATATGATTTTTAATTGGGCTAGACACAATTTTGTTTTCATGAATATCTAGATATGCAAAGAAGTGGAGCAATAATATGTACCACGGTTTCAAGGCACCTGTATTTTATGTGGTGACCCAATAGATTATATATGGATATAATAAAAATGTGTAGCTGTATCCTGTAGGTGTTCATGTAATGTTGATTAGGCGTGATAATGTGCAGGGATCAAAAGCAAGAAGGCAAAATGGGGCTGACATTCACAAAGCTGTTTAGCCGACTTTTTGCCAAGAAGGAGATGCGTATTCTGATGGTTGGTCTGGATGCTGCTGGTAAGACCACCATTCTGTACAAGCTCAAGCTTGGAGAGATTGTCACAACCATTCCTACCATCGGTATGTATGCTGTGCAAATTTAATAGTTCTGTTTCTTTCGATTATTGTGTTTTTGGATGTGGTATCCTGTGCTATAATGTACTTGTTAAAGCTGAGACTTTTGCTCGATTACGAGTCGAATGCTGTGCTTAATTTTTATTTATGAGGCTTTATTACTTTTCTGCAGGTTTTAATGTTGAGACTGTTGAGTACAAGAACATCAGCTTCACTGTTTGGGATGTTGGTGGTCAGGACAAGGTGGGGAAATTTTGTATATCTATCCCATTGTTGATCTATAACTATGCCTTTATCAAAATACAGGAAGTTTAATTCTGGGTTCGATACTTTCATATAATCAACTTTTCCCTTTCTTTTCTCACCTTCGGTGATCCTTATCACTATTGGAACGTTACAAGTCTACAAAAGATTTCCGTATCCTTTTATCTTTCCCTTGGTGGAGTTTCTTGAAGTAATCATTTTAACTAATTAATTCACGTTGTTGCAGATTCGTCCATTATGGAGACACTACTTCCAAAACACGCAGGGTCTCATATTTGTGGTGGATAGCAATGACAGAGACCGTGTTGTGGAGGCAAGAGACGAGTTGCATAGGATGTTGAATGAGGTAACAAGTTTTTTTTCTTTTAAACCCTGTTTATTTTTTCACTTCTAAGGCTTTATGAATTTCTTATTATAATCTGGGCATGCAATGCGGCTCTCTTAGCCTGAGTTAGGAGGTTGATTACTTTAGCAAAA